AAAAAAAAAAAACCATAAACCATTTAAATCTTACCATTTGGTTATTTTTTAATCAATTTTTGGCTAACCATTCGGTTAACCAACCATTTTTCACACCCAAAAAGTAATGCAAATGACAATTTTGAGTGATGAAATTTTTTGTTTTCAGCCAATAAATAAAGAAAATGTTATTTAAAAGGGTATAAAAGCTACCTAACCCATTTACATATGCGTCGACCTAGATTTACATATGAGTCAACACGTAGCTCCATCGTATCACAGTGCGTTGCTGAGGGTCCTCACCATTGATAGGATGCAGACAAGAGAAGGTTTGGGTGATTTTTTTTTCTTTTGATCAGCCAAAGAAAATTTAATTTAATGAAGCACAAGGGGTGCTCCTGTCCATATACAAAAAAAGGAAACCACAACAGAGGAGAGCCAATCTCCTAAAAACCAGCAATTGACAAAGCTTACATATCACAAACAAAAAGCGTTAGGTGCCCAAATACTACACATTTGAAGACAAAACAGCCCCGCCTATCCATCAGCTAAAGGGCATGCAAGCTTTATAGAACTGCTTCCTCAACCTTTTATGGTTTTTGACAGACATAGCACACTCCATTGGACAAGATTGCCATTCGTAAAAAGAAAAAACACAGCCATTGACTTTGGATTTTATCCATATAAATGTTTTAACTTGCATCCTTTCCAGTAGGTTTTTTTGGTAATCCTTCATCTTTTCGAAACACTTGAACATTCCGTCTATACCATAAGTACCAAGCGACCACTAGAAAAATAAATGAACCCATCTCCTTTCCCACTATGCTGCCCAAGCTACCAATGAAAAACTCTGTCATTCCCCTTACTGTATTAGGCAAACCAGACTCCAAACCCCACCAACTCAACACCTGAGTCCAAGCTAACCATGCATTATAACATAAACAAAATAAGTGGTTAACTTCCTCCACCTTCCCATTACAGAATTCGCAAAGTACCCCCTCCTGTAACAATATCCCACATTTTTGCAAGATTTCCTTTGTTGGGAGTCTATCTAAGCACAATCGCCACCCAAAAAAAGTCACTTTGGATGGCACCAATCCGCACCCTATTAATTTGCACATCTGGTCCTCCAAAACACTCTCCGTAGAAGCTAAAAAATCATACGCTAGCTTCACCCCATATTTGCCATCCATCACATGTACCCACTTCCAAACATCCCCTGCCCCCTCCTTTAGTTTGACACCCTCCAGCACCTTCTCCAACAGCTCCTCCTCATCTTTCTCTCGCCCTATTGTACCCCTCCTCCACTCCACTCCACCCGCCAACGCCATCTACCCTCTTCCCAAGACCCCATTTCAGAAACCTTTCCTTCCTTCTTCACAGATAGTGCAAATAACCTTGGAAATAAATCCCTAAGACTTTTAACACCAATCCACCTATCAGACTAAAAACCCACTCTATTTCCTTCACCCACTTCCCACTTGAAACCCTCAACCAACATATTCCTAAGTTTGAGAGATAGACCCCCTATCCTAATAATGTCCCTCCAACTCCTTGACACCTTTAAATACTCAATCGTAGTAATATCGACCTCCCTCCTACCACCATAATATTTCTCCCTCACCACCCTTTTCCATAAGTTCTCGACCCCGTCACCTAACCTATACCACCATTTTCCTAACATTGCCCAAGTTTTACTCTGTAAATCAGGCACCCCAAGACCCCCCTTCGCCTTAGCTCGACATACATATTCCCATTTAACCCATGAAATTTTCTTATTTAATTCTGTCCCGCCCCATAAGAAACTCCTTTGAATTCTAATCAACTCCTCAAGCACAGAATTAGGTAATAAATATAAAGACATATAAAAAATAGGTAGTGCAGAGAGTACCGAGTTTAGCAAGACGAGGCGGCCTCCAAAGGAAAGAGTAGCGACCTTCCAGACAGCGAGTTTGGTACGAAATTTATTTACAACCAGTTCCCATAATTTCTTGTTCCCATATTTACCGTCAACGGGCAATCCCAGATAAAGAAAAGGTGCTCGACCAACCCTGCAATGTAACATACCCGCTAATCCTTTTAGCCATTTCTCCAACACATTATAACCAAAAATACTGCTCTTGTTGAAATTAATCCTCAAGCCCGACATAAGCTCAAACCATTTTAGGATGTCCTTCACCGTACGTATATTCTCAGTATCCGCTCTGCCCATAATAACTGTATCATCAGCAAACTGGAGCAACGACAGGGACAAACCTTTCTTTCCAATCTCAATCCCATGCATCATTCCCTCCTTTTCTGCTCTCTGTACCAGACTTTGTAACCCCTCTGCAATCATCAAAAAGAGAAAAAGAGATAGAGGATCGCCTTGTCTCAAACCTTTACCCACCTCAAATTCCTTTGTCGGGCTTCCGTTTACCAGGACCGAGATTCTCGCCGTTGAAATACATTCCATAATCCAGCCTCTCCACTTAGTTCCAAATCCAAAACTCTCCATCATCCAATCCAAAAAGGACCAATCTACGCAATCATATGCCTTTTCGAAGTCTGCTTTAAAAACAAAAGCTGGCTTTTTCTTCTTCTTAATTTCATCCACAACTTCATTTAGCACCAAGACACTATCCACTAACTGACGGCCCCCCACAAAGGCAGATTGCGTTTCACTCACTATTTCTGATATCACAGATTTCAATCTATTAGCCAGCACCTTCGCTAATAATTTATAGACACATCCTATCAAGCTAATGGGTCTAAAATCCTTTAATTCTACAGCATTCAACTTTTTAGGAATCAGAGCTATAAAAGAAGAATTTAGTCCCCTCACCAATTTACCATTACGGTGGAATTCAGAAAAAAAGTTGATGAAGTCCTCCTTTATGCAGTGCCATGCATATTTAAGAAAGTTGAAATTGTAACCATCAGGTCCTGGTGCCTTTGAACACCTTCACAACTCCTTAAACCTTCCTCTATTTCTTCAATTGAAAATGGTCTTTCCAGCCAATCTTTTTTCTCCTCGGATAACTGCTGGAATTTAATATCCCTAGGCTTGGGTCTATTCCATGACTCTCCTTGAAACAAGCTTCTAAAATATTTGACGATCTCATTTTTTACTAAAACTGGATCTTCAATCCATGCCCCATCACACATTAAGCCCGCAATATTGTTTTGTGCTCTTCTTCCTTTTGCAACTCTGTGAAAAAAGCGGGTATTTGCATCTCCCTCATGCACCCATTTACTCCTTGACTTCTGCTTCCAGATAAGTTCCTTCTTTCTCAAAACATCCCACATCTCAGAAAAACCTTCTTGCCTTTTCACAATCTCAGCATCTTCCAGATCAGATATTTCGTTCTGCATATCAACTTGCTCAATCTTTTTTACAGCTTGCTCATATTGAGCTTCCATGTTCCCAAAAACTTCCTTGTTCCAGCCCTTTAAAAAACCTTCTAGCAATTTCAGCTTTTGCTGGCATTTATACCCTGCAAAACCCTTCACCGCCATCTCACTCCATTTATCTTCTATAAACTTCTTAAAATCTGGATGTTGTTGCCATGCATCCAAAACCCGAAAAGGTCTTGGTCCCCAATCTTTTGTTCTGGACTTCAACACAATAGCACAATGATCAGAGATATTCCTTGGCAATCCTTGTTGTATCCACTCTCCTTCCATATTACTCATCTCCGTACTCAATAGGAATCTGTCCAATCTACTCCTTGCTGTGCCATTTGGCTTGTACCATGTATAACTTCTATTCGACAATTTGACATCCACCAAATTAGTTGTCACAATAAACTCATCAAAATCCTTCATGTCTGGGCTCTCCCCTGTTCTTCCTCGTCTCTCCTCAGGACCTCTGACTGCATTAAAGTCCCCTGCTATCAACCAACACCCTTCCTTGTCTGTCACCATTTTCCTCAGTTCCTCCCACAAACTAGCCTTCTTCTGTCTATCATTTGGACCATACACGTTAATTAAAAAATACTACTTTTTATTTGCTCCCCATTCCCCTACTAATCCCACGAACCCATCACCAGTAAAATCTTCCCTCTTAACAAACTGCCGTCTATCCCACATACATAGTAAACCCCCTGAAGCTCTGGAAGAGCCCTTCGCAACCCAATCGAACTCATCTGAATTCCACAATTGTCTACAGATACCTACATCCACTTTTTCTAACTTTGTTTCTTGCAAGAACAGAAAATCAGGCTTCTCATCTTGAACCAGCCTTCTCACTTCCTTCTTTTTCATCATCCCACCCAAACCCCTTACATTAAAAGAAATAAATTTCATTAATCAATTCTATTCACACAAAGCTCCATTCATCACAAACGCCCTTACCTCCCTATCGCGTCCCTCCTCTCTGCCCCTTCTCGATCTACTGCCTCTAGTAACTTTGATTGAATCTCCTCCTCATTATTATCAAATTTAAAACCCAATCTCTTCCCCACCCCATCATCCGGCGCACCTCATGCATATTCATCTCCCTCTGCAACACCCCACTTCTATTTTCAATACCTCCATCTGAAATAGAAACAACAGCAGCGTTGTGTACCTTGTCGTCCTCGGCTTGGCAAGTTCCCACTCTCCGTGCCAGTCGCTGCCTTGTTCTGGGCGTTACACACGATGCTCCTTTTGCCCAGATCTCCTCCGTGCTCTTTGGGTAACATTCTTGAAGAAGTCTCTATTTGTTGCTCACATTTTTTGTGTTTACCGATTTCTGCATTGTCGATGGGTCCACCGATATTTGTGCATTTAAAATGGGTTCCTCCATGCTCATTTCCTTTGTCTGTCCCCAGCCCATCCTATTAGTCAGCCCACTACCTTCTACTGGCCCAACAAAACTCACTCTTTGTGGCCCATTCTCCTTGGACAACCCAACGCTTTCATCCTCTTCCAAATCTGTCTCTTGCACAATTTGAATACAGCTCTCTGTTTCCGTTGCAAGCTTCATATTTGAATTTGACACCAAATCCTTCATTAAATGCTCTGAACCGTTACTTACATCCTCACCGTCGCCAATCACATCCATATCCATTTCCGGATCCTCGTTCTGACACCACGAGTTTGAGTAATCGGACTTCGTTTCCAGGTCGCTTCTCCGATCATTCTTCGATAACCACCAATCTGGATCAGAGCGCTACTCCTCTTCAATTATCTCTATCTCAAACACCTGCTCTCCCACCTTCAGCTTAACTTGTTTTGAGATTTTACTAGACTCTGAGCATAGGATCAGTACTCTCCCATCCCATAAAATTGCCTTCTTCTTTGTGTCCTCGTGAACCAATAAAACTTCTCCAATTGTCTCACCTATCGTCTGAAAACACCTCTCTCCCCATGCCTTTAATGGCACACCCGATATGCGCAACCACATCATTCGAGTTTTCTCCTCTGGTGCCATCTCCCATGGAGTTATAGACTCAAACCACATACCAAACAATTCCTCATTATGCTTCATATAATCAGATAAGAACCCTGCAACTTTCTCAGTTAATAGCACCTTTCTTCCCGCCATTGGTGATAACAAGATTGAGCCTCCATCTGCGTCCATTTGCTCTTGAATCTCAGATACCAATGCCATAGACCTCACCACTGCCACCATGCTACCTTTAAGCCATTTCAGCTCATCACCCGTTGGGATGTATTCAATAGTCTTCTCTGTTTTTTCTACATCCTTATTCTCCTGTAACCTTGTTTTGACAACTTCCTTTTTCGGGGCTTTTTTTATTTCCTTTTCCTGTGATTGTTTTGAAGCCTTATCCGCTCTCTTTCCTTGGCCCTTCACTGCTTGTGCATATGACTGCCCTGGTTGAACCAACCTTTTCATGATGCTTGTTGATCCACTGACTTTAAGCGCACCTTGTACCTTCCTGGACGCTGATGATTTCCTTTGTCTGTCATTTGCAATCTTCACTCTCATCTTATACGAGCCAATCCAAATCTCATTTAGCCTCCTCTCCATTTGAATCTCATTCTTGACCCCTGTTAGTCGCACAAAACCATACCTCTTCCCTCTCTTATCACGTTTACTCGGAATATACACATCAACGACCTTACCATACATCTGAAAGCTATTCCATAGAAATTTTGCCTCTAATTCCTTTGGGAAGTTATAAAAGAAGAAAGTCGATGACCATCCGGAAAACTATGAACTGTAACCTGCAAACCTGTTCTTGTATCCTGGCCGTTGTCTGTAGCCACTGTCTTTCCTGGCTGCCGCGCTCCTTGCCGAAACCCGAGTGCTCTCCATCTCAATAAATTTGACAATAGAAGGTTTGGGTGATTAAAGTTCGGACATTGGTCTATTTCTTTTTATGCTTTATTTTTTTTAAAAATAAGAAATAGAGACCTTATCAGAATAATTAAATTGATATTATATAAGAAAATAATTGAAATATACTCAGTTGAACATATTTTTTGTTCAATCATTAAAAATACAATATAAATACAATTGATTCAATCGGTCCGTGCATCATATGTGTATAATTGTATCTTTAAACTTATTGGTATTTAATTTTAGATAAAAAATAATAATTTTTTAATGAATATATTGTACAATATATTAAACTAAGTATATATATTAATCACTATACATATCTATTATATATGAATTCCTATATCATGCCTTATAGCCAAATTTAGTAGAAAGATATCCTATAACATTAGATACCAATAAAAACTATATTCATAATAGATATATACAATTAAATATAGAAAGTAAAATACATCTAGAGATTATACTGGCAATTGTTGTAATGCCTAGAAAAAAATTACTTTATCAAGAAGTTAACTTTTACTTTTCTCTTTCTTCCTGTTTAGTTTAAAGAAAATAGATAATCCTCCCCTTATTTAGTTAGATT